AAAATTTGGAAAATTTCCCCGGTACTTCATGCAAAGTACCCCCCAAATCAGGATATCGGTTTCAAATTCAACTGGACGCGACATCAACCAGATCAATTGGGGAGTATACATTTTCGAAAAAATCGGCTGAACGATATAACCACTAGCGACGGACGGACGGACTGACGGACGGAAGGACGTTTTGCCGTCATTCGATTTGTTGCTATTAAGGACCCACAAAACATTGATTCTGGCTACACAAGGTGTAATAGGATTTTGTTTCTAAATATAGCAATTGGATTTACCAACTTTTCGTTACCACAGACCTGTAATATGTGTCTTCTGCCGAAAATTGTCCGTTTTTTTGTACGGCATTGCATAACTTTCTCCCTACTCCGTAACAAGGAAGTAGAAATGTGCCATTCGTGATAGAGGCCAATTTTTATGCCTATTTATTTGGCCTTTTTTGTCTACAAATGTTTACTGCCTGAATTTAATCTTCAATAAAGTAATAATTATTGGTAATGTTCATTTCTGTAGAGTTGTATCTGTAGTGTAGAGTCATTTCTGTAGTGTTTCATTATCACTCAGTCATGGTAGGTCAGCGAAAATGCAAACAAATGGGAAATGAGATCGAAAAAATTGGTTTGGAGAGAGGTGAAAACAGCGGCGAGATTCACGACGGGAAGTTCGTAACATGCTCTGGGCGTCACAAGGCAAATCGTGTTTATAACGGTTTGATTTTTTCCGGGTGCGTAACTGCTTTCGTGATCGGATTTATCTCCAACACTTTACTCCTGCCACCCTCTTCTGTCTGGCCAGCTTAAGAGAATAGCGCGCCAGGATGCAAAGGATTCATATTCCAAATGAAATGAGAGAAAATTTCGGATTTGAATAATTTTTAAACAAAACTAGGGGATGTTATTATTCTGTCACAGCCCGAGTTTTTATCGAAAAATCGCCAAATTCCGTGGCACGATTACAATTCTTTTTTTCTTATGAAGTTAGAGCATCAAAGTAAAAATATAGAGTATTTAAAAAAATTGAAGTAGCCGCTTCAAATTGAAGGAGCCATGAAATGAGGTAGATCAATTGGGAAATACTATTTTTTTTAAATTCTGCTTACGGATTTGCCACGGGCGTTGTTCACGGGAGGATAGACGTTTTGCCGTAAATCTATTTTCTAGTATTAAGGATCCACAAAAGAGTGATTCTGATTGCACAATACGATAGAGGAAGTTGTTTACAACATACGGTAGGTAACATAAGATAAAATAGGGTATTTACATAATGTAGGTAGTAAGGCGATACAGTGTTTGCTTGAGTAATTGGATGACACGGTAAAAGTCTCTTTGAATGACTGGCTACACCGCAGAGCCAAAACTACTTTAGTTGATGTTTCGAAATGGAAACCATACATAAGAACTCCTTGTCAGAAGAGATGAATAATCTATAATTTCTTCCTTTCGAGGGAGATGAATTAGGGGTATGAGACAATCCGCAATGCACTGAGGTATGGCACATTGCGGCGCAGCGATGCCTATAGAGAGGGCAGTCAATGCATGGACGCTTACGCAGAGAAGCTGGGCAGTGCCGGATGGGGAGATAGGACGGCGGCGAGGGGCGGGAACGAGCTGGTGAGAGAGGACAGTGTACTAGGAGGGGTGGGGTGGAGCGTGAGGGAGCGAGGATGGTGGGACATCAAAAAAATAGTGCAATTAATAATATACAAGGATACTATTATAATGTTTTTTTAACTGTTTTACAGTCTCTTTAATTTAGGACAACAACAAAAAATGAATTTGTAGCGATTAAAAAATTATATCCATTTTATACTGTAAATAGAACTTGTTCTTTTTTCTGTCTAATTAATTATAGTGGTAAATCAGCACTCGGACAACGCCGCTTCATCTTGTACGTAAAATAAGTTGAAAATATTTTCATAGAGCTCATGGGTACGATCTCCTGGATCTGTCAATCTCTTTAGAACCTCTGAAGGATGTAGCCGGCAGCAGTCGTTTCGAAAGAGGTTCACTTCCCTTGAGCTCTGTGATAAGAGAAGGCAATAAAAGCTCGTTGGCTCTACAAATAGAATGTTTATTTTTTCAGTGGCATAGCCCCAAATCTATTGTGACACTTTCCGCGGGTGTCGATCGAATATTTAGAGATCTCACAGCCACTTATGAGATCGTTGAGGAGCTTATTATTGAAAGAGAGAACTTGTTTTCGCCACATCATTCTCTGTTTAGGAATAGACGACCTGCAGTTGGGCCATCCAAAGCGTCTTTTCAAGTAAATCGTGTGCCAGTTTTAGGAACGTATCGTTTATTGATATCGGTTTTGCCTGACAAGAATACTTTATATTTCCATGAATTGCATTCCAGGAGTTACAGACTGGGCAATATCAGATATGCGAGAAAAAGAGAAGCGTCTGAGCCATATAACATAAGAAAAGAATGTGTTCGCTTTTGCCAGCGTATAATAATGAGACGTAGTAAATGGAATTGGAGTTTTGTAGAATATCGAATATAAATGTAATGCTCAAAGGTCACATTCCGCACACGTCAACTTGAAACTTTGCCAAGTATCAAAATTGCACCTGAGATAAAAATTAGTGACAGAGGCTAAGAATGTGTTATAACTAAATGAATTTGAAATGCAGACAGAGAAATGAGAGAATTCGGTTCGATCCAATGCTTATCATAACAAATATTAATTCACAATATTAAAAATCAAAGAAAAATGAAGTTGTTTATGCGAAAAAAGCACATTTGCTTGGACATAAAGCATCATAGTCAAGGATTCAGGATACAACTATTAAATGTATATTTAAAATGTTCTATAAACGAGGATTACATAGTATTAATACTTGCAGAATGTCTGTGAAAATCAGATATAAGGAAATAACATTAATAGTTTATGTTTTTTATATATATTTATCATTAATGAGATATAAAAAATATTCAATTTTTACAATAATACATTATCACAAAACTTCAATTTTTTTTTCAAACCCCTTTAATGCGTTATAATATTGTTGTGTTTTGGGGAATAATTGACTCATTTGCAATATATGAGAACGAGTAAAAAATATGTATTTCTTCTTTCCCCTACTACAAAGCCACGCCTGCATTTTACTTGCTCATATTACTACGTACGTACGTAATACAGAGAAAGTATTGAAATGCTGTTGCAGAAATCGGCTATTTTTCTATAGAAAAACTCGTATTGTGGGCCATGGTATCGAAAAAGTGGATAAACCTGGTTCCAACATGTAGTAAATTACTACTTCGTCTAACACGTGTTGTCTGAATACACGTTTTATGAATACTCAATACTGAAAAACTGTGTCTCTGTCTTTCTGTAGCCAATGCTAGCGTCTGATCTGTTCAGAAATTGATATTTTCAAATTGATCTAAGCGAGCTCAAGGCCTTGCGAATTTTAAAACCTATATTTTAATTTTGGGGGATACTTTACATTCAGCTTTAACATTTTCAAACTTTCTCCAAAAATTGTTCCAATTTTGTTTAATGAACTTTGTCCTGACATAGAATAGATAACTTTTAAAACAATGTCGCATAATTAATTGTGGTTGAATTATCTGCCTTTTCGACAATTGGAAACGTTAGAAACATTGGTCATCCTTCAACTATATTATAAGGTAGAGGGTACATACTTCATTCAGTAATCTGTGGCTCAAAAACCGGTTTTAAAATAGTCATGTATACTTTTTTCGAAATGATTTTTTCAACAATGAGCAATTTCTTAACAATTATTTTCTCAAAAACTGTTCCATTTTTCTGATAATGCAAAGAATGGTCAAAATAGGGTTGGTTCCATTTTCAGCGAACTCTGTGTATTATTTGTTCTAACCATATAGATCTTTAAATATGGTCATGTACCATTAAAAACCATTAATTTCCCTTCAATTTCTGCTTTAATTTAATGCAATTTATAAAATAATTTCAAAACTCGCTTGAATTTTAAAAAATTCTTGGAAAGACCAAAAAATGGCGAGGGTTCCGTAATCGGCAAATTCTCTTTAATTTCCAAAATTTTAAACAAAAACTTAACATTGGGTAGCTACAGATTTTATGTTTGAGATTTGTTTGTTAATGAAATATCTTCATGAAAACTAGAACTTGAAATCAAGTAATGACAACCGTTTATTTGTTCAATATTTCTTAAAGAGTCGGGAATGTTGATTTTATTATTTTAAGACTAGTGGTGTTTGGGTAACGTGGACGGCTTGCTAAATATAAAGGTGTTAGTTAGAATTCTAGCTGGAAGAAAAAAATTGGAAAAGCCCTTTCAGCTTCATGTAGTATTATAATATTACCTAGCTGTTACAAATAATGCAAGAAAGTACATGATACTCCAGCATCATTAGTTCTGTTTCCAATTTTAGCGAGTAATTAATGTAAAGGACATAGGTATTGCCTTTAGGTTTTAATTGTACTTCTAGCACAATACATTTTGTTTCACAATAATATATTAATGTGTGATGTTGTTTTGGTATCCTATCTGATATTACAATAAATTTTCTTTGTAGTTTTGGGATCTCTTTGCATAATCTTTAACGTAATAAATATTAAAGCTATTTGTGGCTGAATGGCTGTAATGTTCAAAATATTATTGCGAAGAGAAAATATTAAATAATTGTCCCAAAAGTTTTCACTTTTTGTAATTTTCCGATTGTACATATTCTCGGACCCATTGTGAAATTAAAAAAACTCGCATGTGTAGATGGAATAACAGGTTGAAGATGAGGTTGGGAATGAGATTGAAGATGAATTTACAAGTGCGACACATCAGAGAACAGAGATGTGAACTACATTCCATATCTTGAATATTATCTATTTTTCCACAGGTTTAATCATCACCAGTGTGGTCTCCACGGTCGTTAATCCGGCTTTCCGCAGAGAAGAGGACCTATTCATACACCGCCTCCAAAACCTGGTGAGCATGCGATTGGGGTTTACCAACTCCTTTGATTTGCAAATACTTCAGATGACGCGCCTCAATACATATCTCGCACCAGTGATACGATATCACTTTTCTGTGTACTGTCGGCGTCACCTGCCATCTCACGTGAAGTTCAGTGTGGTTCAGTAATCTCGGCGATCGTCTTGAGTGATGACTTATGTTGCGGTCCAGCAAAAACGTGTGGTGCACGAAGACTTATACTAGTGTACGATACTTCTTGTTTCGTAGGAGCAGTGAACAAGAAGCAATTGTGTGAAATATCCTTCAATACATCTTCTGTACTATGTACTGTTTGGAAAATAGTACCATCGTCGACGAATTGTGTTTGGATAAACATACTAAACGTAAGTGTTGTACGTATTATTAACTAACGTGTAATATGAAGTAATAGATTTTCATTAGTATGAAAACAAAACAAAGTCAAAAAATAATATTCCTTTCACGATGTTACATTTTTTATGTTCGAACAACGGAACGTATTAAAGTAGTAAGCATTTGATTGCTGAAATATTATCGGTGAGAAAAATAATTAGGTTTATTTTGGTGAAAGAAATCCGCAATAGGTCCCCTAAAAAGGTTCGTACTCATGCAAGAGATATGGCCAAAGATATTTCAAGTAATTAATTTCAGATTCAGTAAACAGTTTATCATTCCATTTAATGATTACACCTAATGCTAATGATATTTTTCTGATGGCAAAAATTAAGAGAAAGTTGTCAATGTGTGAGAATGTGCCAAAGTGTTTAATACGCCAAAACAACAGGGTTTCAAGGTTAAAAAAAGGAAAATTATGTTAGAAGAAATTAAGTGTTTTGACAATGAACTTCGTGTCTCCATTAAACACGAATTATAACATTTTCAGGGAAATATATGAGTGTTTAAAATTTTATCTTGAACTAACAGCTTCTGAGGAATGTTATCGTTATCACGCCACTTTTAGCACACTCCATCCTGTTGCAACAGTCTATATTCCGATCGGATGTAAGATAGTCAATCCAAAGAGACTGACAAATAACTACTGCATTGTATTAGTTTTTGAATGGAAATTCCTTTTTACGATCAATATTTTCTTCGCCGCCAGCGCGTTTTTAAAGACGATATGCGATTAACACACCGCGAAGCCTAACACTGAATGACTGGGAATGGAATACAACCTTGAACGACCATTACCTGTCAATTTAGTGTGAAATAATTAAGTTTAATTTATCACGATTGAAATGTGACTCATGTATTTGTTCGCGAGTAACGCTATTGAATAGGAGGAAGATATTTTCTTTCAGAATATAACCTAATATTTTCGTTCAATATGATTTTTATGAAAGTTTGCATTTGGTTTTCTGTAGTTTCTACTGTTATTCATTCAATCTCCAAGAACATGTTACTTTCTTGACAGTATGGAAATTTCTATAAAATTATTATAAGGCAAAATTACATCATGAAAGATAATCAAAAATGTTCATATTTTCGGATAAAAATGAATTAATGTGTTGTACTGACAACACATTTATATATTGTTTCATTATAATACCTACATGCAACAAACATAAATTTCTATTCTCTAGAATTCATGCATCTTCTTCTAAATTAAATTGTTAGAACAACAATTTTAAAGAAACCTGCAGTCGTGCGGCTAAGAAACGATGTTTAAATACTGTTATGGGTAACACGAGCGCAACTGAGCTCTCTCAGTCTTATTCTACTTTCGAATAGACATACATTTCAATAAGATCGAATTTTTATAGACTTAAATCGGTATGTGTCTTCTGAGGAAATTATTTTCGATTAATGATTTTCGATATGTAATATAAATAATTGCGTTGATTACTTTATATTCCTTCTATTTTCCCAATACAGTTTACATTCACTTTCCGGCATAAGACAGGCATAATATATACCATGGAACATACAGGTCACAATTGTTGATAACGCTGAACTTGTCAATATTTTCTTCTGATTATTATTATTATTATTATTATTATTATTATTATTATTATTATTATTATTGTTGTTGTTGTTATTATATCATCATCAAATGGCATGACGTTGCGGGATCGGCGCATTGACAGCAGAATTTCAAAGCGAAGCTCCTGTGATTTCGTGTGCGACGCGTTAGAGTTGTGAAATGATGATGATGATGATGCCTATCATTATTAAATTTCAGTTCGTTTGTCTTTTTCGGTCGTTCAGAATATGAATGGTTTTGGTAAGTGGGTGTCGAATTATGATAAAATGATTTGAATAATGATGGAGCAATTGTGGACTGAGAGGCATAGGAAATGCGAGAACACGGAGCAAAGCGTAAGCGAACTCGCTTGGTCTACAAATTCCACCTCCGGCGAAAGGAATCTGTACATAGGTATCCAACGGTGGGAAGGCAGTCTGACCACTTTACTACAATAAATATGACGAATGAATGATAGATCGATTATTTTGTTTCTGGGCGCATCAACTTGTATGCCCATTAGTCCCGTAAGTGTAATGCAGTTTTTATCACGGGAGACGGTCTATAACTACTATTATCTCTATGGAACGCAAGGTGTGTAAGTAGAATACCTTTATATAAAAAATTGAACTTTAATTTTTTGTCTAATTTTTAGCTTATTTTATTAATTAAACTTGTTTGAAAAACATATGTTGTAATTATATAATAAATACTTTATTACAAGTTAAAGATGAACAATCTTGTTTTTTAAACATTTACTTTGTTAATTTAAAATTTGCAGACCGTAATATCAGAATAAGTAATTCTTACCTAGTATAAATGTTAAGCTTATTGTCCTATTGCAGAGCATAATGTATTCATGAACCACGAAATGTATTTTTATAACTAGTTTTAATAATTCAAAACAAATGACAAAAACTTCACTGGGGACAAACTATCAACAACTTCAACAGGATCTATACTAATTTAGTTATTAACAATAGATATATCACTTTCACGACATATCTATTACTATCCGTAGAGTATCATTAGAATATATTCACTCTATTATACGTAGATAGGCAAGGAGAACTAACGCCTAGCAGTTCGCGGTCAAGGAACAGCAGATGGGGTTCAAGGAGTTCCAAGATCTAAAGGTGATGAGTAGAAAGTTATGAAATAAAACTCACCTTCTTTTGTGTTATGAATAAGAACTCACCACGGCATGTGCTCAGTGAGTATATCGTGGTGAGTTCAGTGAAGGTAGTGTCTACAATGTTTGGAGTCTCTCAAAATCACAAACATCTTCAGATATTCTTAGAGCAACGTCAAACCATTCATTTCAGGCTTGTTGGCATATGTGCGCCAAAATAAACAAGCATGATGACACAATAGTCGGGAGTGAGCGAAAATAATTTTGGGATGCATCTCTTCCAAAATTAAATTAAGTCACTTTCTTGTTTGAACTTCTCGAGGTATGTTAATGCCTTTCTCACAAATGTGACAAATGCATGCTTATTGTTTCCAAGTTTATATTATAAAAAGTTGGAAGGTTGAGTTCATGTACGCTTCGAAATACATGATACTGATATATACTCAAATAATGAATGCATTTTGCCCATTAAATGCCGATATATAAGTATACGTTACATACATTTGGTACATTTAGTGGGTAACAGTAACACTCCCTAAATAATAAACTATTTTTTCCATCATAAACTATTCCTTCCCATAACTTTTGTAAAATAACATTATGTTATATCTTTAAAAACGCAAAATATTAGCGTTCAACTCCAAAGTATATTTGTCATCATTTAGGGTGAAGTCGTCACATTATCTGTCGAATCATTCATTGAAAATAAAACACTTCACAAATACATGTGTATGCTATCATATGCTGGTATTTATTCGCATTTTAAAATATGTAATTATGTTACTCTCGAGAATATTGACAATTTGCTTTCATGCTATAGACGTATTGCCCTGTTCGATTCATGGTAAACGTTCTCTGTTATCTGAAAAATATTACCAAGCAAACGAACCACAATATGGAGCTATCTGAATATGTGGATAGTGAAATTTGGGTTTCATACTAATAAACTCTAACTTCGACGTTGAGATTACGTCTGATAAAAGGAAAAGCTGTAGAAATGTTATAACAGAAAAGTACTTCATAAGCATGATGCAGAAAATTTAAAATCTAAAACGTTTTTCACATCGTTCAGTGTTTATTCTTCATTAATAAGGAAATGAGAGAAGTGAAAATTGTTAGGAATAATTTATTACAATTAACTGTGATATTTCTAAAAACTTCATTAAAATGTTTTTTACCTACCTAAATCTGTACAGTCGTGCATGATCCTGTTTTCATTAATGTGATTTGTTGTTGATCTCCGTGATTAATTTCATAATTATATGGCAATCGCTAATAGGGATATCTTGGAATCCACGTCAGCAACTGGAAAATATCTTAGCTTACCATGACTATATTGTGGCTAAAACCACTTAAATATTTCAGATGCAGCAAGTATATTTGTGTCATTAACAACTACCTGTCGGGAGTCTTTTAAATAATTATTTAAATCGTACCATGATTGATTGAGAGCAAGCTATATGAAATTATTATATTGTCTTTACCTACTACCTATAGTCAATCGTACGGTAACATCTTGAGTTGATGTAACGACCATTGAAATATTGATAATGTTGAATACGAACAAATTGCCACATCATCAATCTGAGTTAGAGAAAGTTGCATGAAGTATTCATAAGGCTCGCGTCTGCAGATCATGTCAGATTAAAATGAAAACAAACTAAAACAACGTTAGTTTCATAAATATTACTCACTAAGGCTCTATTTACATGACAATTATTGCTTTCTCGATACCGCTTACGCAATAGATAGTAGGTTATATAATTCTGGGCAAATAACGGCGAATTTTTGGCAGAAAATATTACAGGGACCTGCTGACGAAGAAGTGGATAAATCCAGTTGCTAAATTAAGGGGAAAATTGTCCAACACGTAGTAACCAGAATCTATGTATTGTGGGTCCTTGATACCGAAAAATCGAATGACGGCAAAACGTCTGTCCGTCCATCTGTCCGTTCATCCGTCCCTCCGTCCGCCTGAGCGTCCGTCCGTTCGTCCGTTTGTCCCTCTGTGATCAATGCTAGCGGCTAAATCGTTCAGCCGATTTTCTTCACCATTGTTATTCTCCTATTGATCTGACTGATGTCGCGGCCCTTTAAATTTGAAATCGACATTTTAATTTTGGTGGAAATTTATTTAAAAAACCCAGTGACGTTTTCAACATTTTCAAAAACATACTCCTTCGTTTTTGATTAAATATTGCCATTTCTTTCCTTTATTAAGCATTTTCAATCTTTTCCTTCCGAGTGATTCAATATCTAAGGGCCCCTGC